ATCGACGGGATCATCATTCGCTAATTGTAATTGGCGCAGTACTAATGCGTCATAACTAGACTATCACTAACAACGTGCTCTACTTTATTTTCACTTCTTTCATTACTTTAATAAATCTGTCTTTTGTCCGAAGAGTAGGCTGAAACTATGCATGTGTCTGTCACAGCGCGTGATCTGCCAATCACATTTCTGTCAATCATTTTGTGTAACATAATTTTTTCAGTTTTTCGAACATTATTTAAATTATTCTAATAAAGTTCGGACGCTCCCGTTACCTAGTATTATATATACTGTATATATAAATATTTTTAACGGTATTTCTAAAAAAAAAAATTTTAAATAATATATAAAGTAAAGTATGAATTTAATATGTTATTTTTTTTTAAAAAACTTAAACTAAAAAAATATCGTTTCAAAGCAAAATTATCTTCTAAAATACATTAAACCTCTTCAACTTGAAAACTAGTGGGTATACCATCAGCATTTAACTTACAGTGTAAACCGGCGCCAAATGCCACGTCTGGAGTGATAATGTTTATAACATTTCCATGACTGTTTGTGTCCTTAAATCCTTGACTATTGTTCCTAACATCTGTATTATACCTGCCTACAATTTTTGTGTAATCCTTAATCCCACAATGATTTACCATGAAATGCATCCTACTAGCACGGTAAAGTAGCTCAAAACGAGACGGGTTATTCCTTGAATTGTAATGAAAGCTTTCCTTCTTTTCAATCCAACTTGCAAACATATAAAAATGTCGAGTAATCATCAAAACTGTATCAGACTTTGACAATCTAGAATATCGAGGGAATACATCAATTTCCAGTATCCTATCCGATACCATATGAAATTCCCAAATTTTATGAAATAAATTCTCTTTTTATAAGGCAAGTCTTTATAATAAAAATCATTCGAGGATATACGGTGTGGTGAAATCTAATAAAAAAATAAATCTAATAAGGAGTAATTCTATACAACTAATATCATGGGAGATTGCGCCAGCACCACATGATCAAATTTTCCCAATTAAACAGCACTTCCAATGATGTTGCACTTAAATGATCCGACTCGATTAACCTTTCGGGTTCTTCACATATCTTTCCAAGACAGAGTTCCATAATTCACTAAAAAGTTAACTCTGGTAAGTTTTTTCAAGTATTTCAATAGGGAATTTGATTTAAAAATTCTTGTTCATTTTTTGAATCAAATATTCTTGAAGACTAATACCAAGCAATAAATAATTTTAACATATCGAACCCTTCTAAATCCGTTAAATCAATATTTCCCCTATATCACAAGGTTGATGAATTTTTTTACATTACTTGAGAATCATTGTAAAAAAAATGGAGAAACGTTGGGCTTTCGAATTATAGATATCAGCCCAATCGTTAGAGACCTACGTAGGTTTCTTTTCTAGATTCTAGCAATTTCTTATAATCACTTACGGAAATTGAAACTACATTATTTTTACAAGGTATATTTCATACAAATAATGCTGTGGGATTTTAAATATAATATTTCAAAATGAACCTCTCCCATTAGAATAAAACGTAATCTATGCTTTGGGCATGAAATTTTCGTAATATTCACGTAACAAAAATGGAATAAATAATTGATCGTTTATCTGTTCAGTATTTGGTGTTAGTTATAGTTAAAGATAATTTTCGATAAAGCGACGTCCCGACTTAAAAGATTTAGATCTTTATAAGCATAGCAATTTTTTTATTTCAAATAAAACTTTATTTAAAAATCTCATTTTTAACTTTCTTAAAAACTACATTTCCAATAAACTTCCTTATCTATGATATAATCATACATATAAAATTTGATTTTATTAAAAAAACAAAAATAATGAAGTGATATACCATACCACTATATATAAAAATACCACAAAATATTATATCACCACCAAATGTTAGACCATAAGTTTGATCACAATAAATAGCAATTGAGCAATATTATTAATATAACCTACTTTTGCGGTTTGAAGGTTTGTTCTATTTACGAATGAGAATATAATATCCTTCCACTAATTGTTCCGTTTCCTTGTAGCCCCTCCTCCCCTTTATTATCGCAAATGATCACTTCGGAAAATGTCCCAAATGCTCATTCAAATGACTGACCACCACCTAGGATAATTTCCCCAATGCTCACTTCAGATCATACCCCTAATGACCACCACTTCACCAAAATAATCACTTCGGATTTTCTTTATTACTAGGGTTTAAACTTGGGAGTTTTCATAAAGTTAACGTTAAAGGAAAATTCCCCAATTGCGAAGTATTCCTTGTTAAAAATCCTGATATTCATGCTTATGGAAGTTAGAAGTACAATAATTTTTTGATATCTTTTAAATATTTTGAAACGGTTCATATAATTTTATAGTAGGCATAAATTTATATGATCCTAACTAAACAATATCCTTCAATTTGCGAAACGGTTACGCCACATCTCTGTTTTAAATTCTCATCGATGTCGGACACCTGGAAAACATCTTTCTTAATTTTTATGAAAAATGCGATGATTTGTATAGAATCTTAGTGAAATTCTAAGTACTTCATGTGGTGTAAAAGACTAGGATTTTATGATGTATGTGGACGATTAGAAATTGGGAATGATATATTCGTGTAATGGTAATTTTCATCCAACTCGTGGCAAGGGAAATTTTCAATACAATTATTGACTTTTTCTTCACATGAATTTATTTTTATTTTTCTCTCTCTGTAGTCATATATCGTTAAAATGGCACTAGAATCCCAAAGGAAGATGTTTTAATCATGACTTCAAGTTTATGGAACAAAGAATCTTCGAGTTGTCGACGCTTCAATTCAAATGGTAATAATAAGGCGCTCACTGACATGTTGCATGGCATGGATAGCAAGGAGGGTTATTTTATATACTTCAAAATGAGAAATTCGTTCTATATAAATAAAACATAATAACAAACAACTTTGCTACTATTAACTATGTTTAAACTCAAAAGGTTACCGTGATTCTATTCGCCGAGAAAATCGTGATAAGCATAGCACGTGTCTTGTTGGCGCATTGGTATCCGAAATTTGTTGATGTAAAATATTTGGCGCAATAAGTCAATATTAATCATATGGGAAGTTTGCTAGGAAAATGGAGCTTTGAGCATTTTTTATTAAAATTTTAATTTTTATTGCAGATTTAAATTTTTGATAATGTTAGATTAAAATGCAATAAAAATTTAAATTTTAATAAAAAATGCTCAGAGCCATTTTCCTGTCAAACCTCCTATATGTCGGTAAGTTATTTAGATTTAAGACGCGTCATAGCATGATAAAAGTTTCATTTATAAATATACAGAAAATCGGTTTTATTTTCCTTTAAAACTAATTCATCTTATATCAACAACAAAATTACAAAATTAATATGGACTTTTGAAAATATAAAAACTTATTTCCAGAAGTTACTTTTGAAGATATTCTTAAAGCCTTCAAGCTTTTTAGGATTTTACTAATCCTAGTTACAATAATAACTTCTTATTTTTTTAATATTTAATATTCAATAAATTTATATTATACCTATATACATATTAAACTATATAATGGTAACTGTTAGAGTATCAAAATGTTTATCCTTAAATCATAGGGTTTTTCAAACAAATATACCTGCTTATTTACTTTCAAACTTTTATAAATAATTAATATTTTAAAAAATTATTTTTTTTAAATTAATTTAAAAACATGTAATATAACAAATTTTATCTTTTAATTCTTTTAATTATATAATAAAAAATTTAATGTTACTTATAAGTTAAAATTATATAATTTTTATATTATAAAATTTTATGATTAATCTATAATAAACTTTTTAAATTTATTTACTATATTAATCATAATAAATATTATGAAATTACTTATAAAGAAAAACTTTTTTACAATAATTTTTATAATATATTAAGAAATTTTTGACTTTAATTAATGATAAAGTGATTCAATTAATACATAACTAATAATACATACTAAACACTGTTTGTTAAAAGGATTTGTCTCTTTAATAATTTTATATTTTTATACATGAATATAAAATTATTTTATTTTTAATATATTTTATTTCAAGAAATTCAAATAAATTTAAATATAATTTTAGTAATTAAGTAAAATATCTTCGTTATTTATAAAAAAACTAGTTTCTTCATTTTAATTTTATCAGCTTTGTTATTTTAATTATGTATCATTAATGTAAACATTGTTAGCTGCAAAATTAACATTAATAAAAAAATATCAAAATTGATCTACAAATTATTATTTGACTTAGTTGACAAATATGATATTTGATCGATCTACCATATTTATCATATTTATCATATTTGTTAGATTTATTAATTATATATTATTTATTATATTGGACATATTATCTTATTATATTACTATTAGTTTATAATATATAAATAGCATGTATTTTCCCTTGAGTTAAAAGATAACTCGAAATAGAATTTTGTGAATAAAACAAGAGTTCAATAAAATATTTGTTATTCATTTACTATTACCTTTTACTGTGTCTTCATACAGGCGTAATTATGATAAAGTTATTGTGATTAATTCGACAGACTGAATTATATCGTTTAAGTTTTATTTTCAACCTTCCGGCTAATAACATATAAATTTTTAAGATTTTTTAAAAAATTATTATAATAAAAATTTTGAACTTAATTTTAAAATTAAACTTTTTTAAGAACCTTTTAAAAACTTTAAATCTTTATTAATAAAGTTGACAAAAATATATATTAAATTATATTTTTTATATATAATAATAATATTATTAAAATTAATATTTAAATATTATATATTTTATAAAGAAATTAACACCTTTTTTTTTTAATTTTGCAAGCAAATTTACTTACTAGAAATCTAAGAGATAATAATTTATTAAATATAAAAAATAATATAAAACAAAAAAATAACATTTTTAATTTATATCTGATTTTATGATATGATTGAATATTTTTATTATTATTATAGCTAATCTTAATAATTAGGTCTTTTATTAAAAAAATTAAAAAATTAAAAAAAATCTATTATTATAATAAATAATTAATTAAATTAAAAATTAAAAATAAATTAAATAAAAATAAAAATTATATATTTATAAACTAAATCAATTAGATAAAAAAACAAAAATATAATAAAACATTCTTATAAATTATATCTAATCTATTAATGTAATAAATAAAAGTTTAATTATTATATAATAATAATTTTATAAATTACTTTACAATTATAAATGATTGGTAAATTGTTTTATATTAAAAATCTTAATTAATTTATTATAATTTTAATTAAAATAAAAGATAACCAAATATTTGAAATAGTTAATCAGTTTTTCTAAGTAAAGTTTCAAATAAACTTATTATAATATTATTTAATATTATAATAAAATTAAAGGTTTCTAAATAAAATAGTAATAAAAAACTATGTTAAATTAGGAAATAGTGTTAAGAATAGAGTTTAAAATTAGAGTTAAGGTTAGGTATTAAAAGTTATATTTGGGTTTTTTATTAATTATATTTAATTAGGAAATTAGGTTGAATTAGAATTATTTATCAATTTATATTATCATAAGTTAATATAAAGTTCTAATATTATAATTAAATAACTATTAATTTAACTTTAAATAAATATTTATATAATTAAATAAAAATTCTTTCTTTTAATATTTAATTTAAATTATACAAATTTTCAAAGTATTGCTTAATAGAGTTGCTAATTATCTACTTAAATATAAAATGTGAGTTCAATTCCTATAAAAAATTTAATTATAGATTCAAATAATTTTCAGAAAAATTTTAGGATATTTTCCAATTTTTTTTTAGAAAATTTATAATAAATATTATGGATTTTTTAAAAAGCCATAAAAATGGCAATATGAAAATTAATTAAATTTATTATAAAATTTTAAATTTTAAATTAAATTAAAAATAAAATAAAAAATATAAAAATATTTATTTTTTATTTTAAGATTTTTTAAAAGGTTTTTTAAGTCACATTCGATCAATTTAGGGTTTAGGGTTTCGAAATATCACATACCGCTTTTTAGTTCATTGAAAATAAATTCGTGAGAATGTTATACACGCCGATCCATAATAATTTAATTAACATTTTGATAATCTGGACTAATCTATAAACAAATCTGTAACATATGACCCTATCTTAAGACCATTAAAGGCTGTTAATGGGTAATATGACTTTAATTTACAGTGGTCGGGAATTTCTATAATCCATTTATAATTGATATCATAGATAAGGTATACGCTTTATTTATATATTAATAACTTATCTTAAAGTTCTAAGTGCGTAAAAATTTAAAAATAAAAATTAAGTATGTCGGAAGAGTTTAAGGAAATTCGAGTTGTTCTCGCCATTGGTATGTTTTTTGACCATCATAAAATCTTTGATAAAATTAATTCAATCGATTAATAAAATACCTTCTTTTCCAACGTTATTATTACGAAAGACTTTGGAACGACCTACTCGGTAAGAATTTGGCCAAAAGATTTAAGAGAAGGAATTCGTGCATAATTGTGATTTAACAATGTTATTCAATTAAATAATTAAATAAAGGGATTCGCATATGCACACATTGCGAGTCCTGAACTGATTATAGTTAAAGATAATTGGGATGGAGTCGAAGGTCACCGTCTTAAATTACCGACAGTTATAAAATATAAAGATGATTCCTATGATTCTATCGAATCGTGGGGCTATAATGCATTATCTCGTAGACCATCAAAAAAAGAAAAAGCAAGGTCTAAGTCATCAAGACCTGTTGAATGGTTTAAATTTCATTTGTCAAAATCTTTGAAAGAAATACCTTTTTTACCTGATAATTTGAATTATAAAAAAGTCATCACGGATTATATGAAAAAATTATGCGAATCAATTAAAGAAACTTTATCTCTTACTTGTCCAAAAGTGGACTTACACAGTAATGTGACGATTGTCCTTACGGTAAGAATTATTCAACATTCATAAAGCAAAAAAAAAAGTGAATCTAAAAATTTATTTATTTATTTCTTTATTTATTTTTAAAAAAAAAAAAAAATAAAATAATAGGTTCCGGCGGAATTTATTGATAATGTAATTACAATAACGATAATGCGCGAATGCGCCTTTAACGCTGGTTTGCTGAATGTGAAATCTAGTAATAATCTCCGATTTACAACGGAACGTATGTAAAACTTATTGCTTAAAAATTAAAATTAAATTTGAGTTAAAGTAATTATTTTTTATAAATAGCCGAAGCCGCAGCTATCTATTGTTTGAATTCGATAGTAAATAAACAAAATAACTTAAAGCCGGGAGGTTAGTGAAGTTTATAAATATTAACATTATACAGTATATAATTTTTAATTTGTACGTTATAGATTCGTTTATGGTTGTTGACTGCGGTGGAGGCACAGTAGACGTAACAACACGTGAACTATTGGAAGACAACAAATTTAGCGAAAAAACGGTTCATGGAGAAGATTATTGCGGATCATCCTTTGTAGACCAGGAATTCCTAAGTTATATTGGTAAAATAACAGGACCATTCGCAATTGAACTAATGAAAGAACATCATTATGCTCAATTACAATATATCGTACAAGAATTTTGTAGACTTGCAAAATTTAAATTTACGGGAGAAGAAACTGGATTTGAACCTTACGGGTTAGATCTGGAAGAAATACCAGCAATAAAGCAATATATAGGCTGAGAAGAAATAGAACCATTAGAAATTTCGGAATGGTATATTGAAATTGGTTTTGAAGAGATTAAAAGTATGTTTGATCCAGTTATATACAGAATTATAAACTTGATTAAAGGACAATTGGGTCAAATTGAAAACGATTGCTCAGCTATGTTCCTAGTTGGAGGATTTAGCGAATCTAAATATTTACAAGCTAGGATTAAAAGTGAGTTTCTTGAGGTATTTCCAAGCATTTCGGTTCCAACTTTTCCTATTACAGCAGTTTAGTATGGTTTTTTATTTATTTTCTGATTAGATTCTTTATATGAAATCATAAACGTGCTTTTAATAATTAGCTGTCTTATACGGAGTTAGTCTCGAAAATGTTTGACAATTAAAAACTGCGTACTGCGGCAAATGTAGATAATAGCATACAGTACCAATCATGTCAAATATGTACCATTTCAGAGTTTTAGTTAATTTCTTGTATTTCCTTATTTTATTTAGTTTATTTTATTTTTAGCATTTATATTGTTTATATTATCTATATAATTTATCATTGCGAAAATGCGTAATTTATAATTTAGTATATATATACATTGAAAAAAAAAGAAGAATATAGTCCGATCGTTGTAAAATCTTGGTGATAGACTTGCGGACTTTCAAATAATAAAAATACTCTTTACACTTTCAAACCTTCCTCTTGTCTCCACATAGGTTCCGCTTGTGACAACCAACTACACAATTGAATCGTAAAATAAAGTTTATCGTTCGTTACCTTGGTTTCGGTACAATCCCAAGGCTAACAACGGTTCGGTCAAAGGTTCCTGACCGACCAATTTTGACCGATTTTGACCGACCGGTTGACCAAACAGTAATTCAAGAATTCTTTACATTTAAATTAAAAATCATTTTAGTGATTTAAATGATTTAACTTTTTATAAATAAAATTTTTTAAAAAAAAGTTCGCGATAATGCTACATCACTAAATATGAAAATAAACTTAATATGAATATCAAGTTAAGTGATTCAAACATATATATATTAGAGTAGAAGTTTTAACAAAAGGATTATTAAATTTAAATTAAATTATCATATTTGACTCAGGCCATTCTCAAGCGTCTCAATGGGTTTATCAAATAATCTGTTTGGCTTAAAAAATCGACTGTGATGATCATTTAAGTCAAAAAAACCTGGAGCTACGAACCATCTTTTTTTTTGATAGAGCTGATTGGCTAAAATTTACCATTGATGGAATATAAAAAGAGGTTGCTCACGTATCTCTTTCACTTTTAACTCTAATTTACATTATTGATTTTCAGCACCGACACAAATCAATAATTATATTACTTTTTATATTAGACGCCATTATTGCAAATAAAAGGCGTCAAGATATTCAAATGCAAAGAAAATTTTACCACTTTTTAACTGCCATTGTCACAACAAATATAACTATTTCAACAATTTATTTACCATCCAGTATAAAATTGCAACGCCAGCCAAGACCTAAAACTAAAGGATTCCGGACAGATGTTTTCCCATATTTAGTAGATGGAGAAGGTTATAATTCTTTTCGGCGGCATTTTCGCATAACTCCTGCCACTTTTCGTACTATTGTAACTCGATTAGAAACCCATCAAGCTTTTACCTAAAATGCCTCTAATGCAACACCTGTATGGAAACAAATTGCTATTGTGTTATGGCGATTAGCAAATAGAATAGGAATACGAGTATTGGAGCAAACACTTGGAGTGAGTCAAGGATCTGTAAGTCATTTTGCTGATCGATTCTTAGAAGCGCTATTAGAGCAAGGACGAATTGCATGGCCACAAGGATCACGATTAGCAACAGTAATACAAGGATTGAATATGGAGAAACTGGTCTAGGATATCACAAACTGCTCAATGTTATTGGTGCAATGGATGGAGTACATATACCTATTCATCAACCTTCCAAGATGGTGCACGCTATATCAATCGCGAAAGTTTTCATTCTATCAACCTTCTCGGAATTGTTGATCATCAGGGACGTTTTACCTATATACATGCTGGAGAAGCAGGCTAGTAGAAATATTTTTATTTTTTTAATAATTAAACTATTATATAACATTTTTATTATTATAGGAAGTGTACATGATGCGAGAGTGTTTTATCGTTCTTCACTTTATCATGAAATTTCATTGCATTCTGAACAATGGGTTCCAGGTGAAACTTATATTATTGCAGATGCAGCATATCCTCTCCGAACATATTTAATAAAAGCATTTCCTAATTATTATATGGGAACTAATCGAGAACGCCACTTTAATAAAATTCTTTCTTCAATGCGAATGGTTATTGAACGAGCATTTGGACATTTAAAGGAAAGGTAGAGAATTCTATTAAAAGAAATTAATTGTACTAATATAGAACGAATTCTAATATAGAACGAATTGTTAAAATAATACATGCATGCTGTGTTTTACATAATATCTGTATTGATATGGGAGATTTATTACCTTTAGAAGATTTAATAGAGAAATAGATGATAATATAGATGATAATAATGAATATGAAGCAGAAAATGAAGGAAGAGAAGAGATAGAAGGTGCTCAAAAAAGAGAATATTTAGCAAATCTTCTTATAAATTTATAATTATTTATTAAAATTTATAAAGCTTTAATAGCATTATTACTTATACAATTATTATTAGCATCATTATTAACTACTTTTACAACTTAAAATTTCGTTAAAAACATTTTAAAAATATCCATTTGTTCATTATGCTGCTTTTGCTGAATCTTAGAAGCATGAGTGTATGATCTTTCATAATTTCAGTGATGGTCTCGGTCTGTTCTTTAATAAGGTTTCGAATCTCTTCTATATTTGTTTTTTTTTTCCTTCAGAATATATACTTTTTTATTTTTTAGTATCATTCTATATAATTAATTATAAACGATTTAGTTTAGATATTAGGAAAAAATAATAGATAATCTTATTACCTCTTCATCTTGATCTTTGGCATTTTATTATACTTTGCGCTTAATTCTATAAATTTAGTCACTTGTAATAGGCGCAACTACACTTGAATCTTTTCTTGAATAATTATCTATATCCTTAAAAAAATTCCCAGTCGTTCTGAATGGCTTCCTTATCAGTACTTTAAATTTTATCTTTTATGTCACGATATTTGTGAAGAAGTTCATCCTATTTTTGTTGAATAGATGCCTTTGTACATTCTTTTAAAGCTAAACTTGCAACATTAAAAGTTTGAATATTGTTAATAATTCTATCCTAAATTCAGCCTTTTTCTCTTACATCTCTGACTTTTTGTAATGATTGCCATTGTTTTCCTACTTCTTCAATAAGCATTCGAGCTTCTGATGATGTCTATCAATTGGTTGATTTATTAGTAATGTAGGAGTTGATTGGATAGGACCTGGGTCAGCAGCTATAGGGTTAAAAGGTGATCGAATTTCTTGTTTGAAAGGAGGTTGTGAAGCTATTTATAAAAAAACATCATCTTGTAAGTTTATCTTTCATTTATAATATCATTATAAAAGAATAAATATTTACGGATATCTTGTTGTTTCATTTAATGGGTCCAAATACACTAGATATCTTGTTTCGTTTAAAGGGTCTGAATGATTTGCTGTTTCATTTAAAGGGTCTGTAAAAAGTTGTTTAGCAGAATATTAATGTTGTTTCGATAAATTATTTGTTATATTGGTAAAAAGGGAGAAGTGAATAGGTGAATCTAAAGTTCTAAAAGTAGTTTTAGGTTTCTTTTTTTGAGGCATAATTAAATTGATAAAAAGAGTAAGAGAGTGGAAGAGATTGATCAAGCATTGATCGCCATCTTTATTTCAATTGATCGTAAAGCTTGAGCACTACCTCAATCACTAGCCAATTACATTGAGAGAGTCGCTTGAGAACGGCCTCAGTCAACAACTTTAAATAGCAGTCAGTAAAATCAGTGGCTGACCGTTACCATCCCTATCGTTTACATATGTTATTTTGATAAAGCTTAATAATAATTTGATGGTTTAACTTTCATTTACTTTTTATTTTAACTTTTTTTAGGTACAGATCAGATATAGTACGAAAATGACAACCAATTCATTTTCACCAAATGGATATTTTATAACTTTTAAAATACTTGCTAAATGTGTGATACAGTACCTAAAAATTAAAAGGTTATTAATAAATTTCAAACTTTTTTGATATTACAACGAAAGATAAGTTTTGATATGTATGTCACAAAAAAGTGAACATAAAATATTATAATGATGATGCGTACTGATGAAATGATGATTGAATTGCCGAAAAATAAAATCTTGATCATGTATTTACTTTAACCTTTGGTAGCGTTGTAATTATAGCTATAGCTGAAATAAAAATACTGGTGAAAATATAGTTACTAATAAATATCTATATATTTTATTATAAAAATAAATAAATCTTTTATTTTAATTCCTATGAAATAATTTTATATACATGCTTATATTTATTTGATTCTGATTGGTCAAATGTGTAGTATTTGAACAATAACCTAATAATTCTCTAATGAGATACGTTATTGTGATGATCTGTTCTGTTCAAAAATTCGTGATAATAATATAAAACTAGAAACCACTTTAATTATGAGTTCATTACACACTTCTTTCTTACCAAAACACACATTCAATATTTTTTTCTCTCCTGTCCAGTTTGTTTACAAAATATCAAGCTAGAAAATAAACTTGTACAGCATTATAACGCAATCAAATAATATAATATACCACATAATAATCTTGATATAATTCCAGCAAAATCATTATATTAAATTTAAATATATTTTAATTCAACAGATACATCGCCAATACCAATAAAATTTACAAAAATGAAAAAAAAAGTATTATCAATTCCACGTACAGAAAGTCAATTTATTGCTATTTTTTCTGTACATATTCAATTTACTAATAAGCTATGAGCGTATAAATATAGATTTCACAGGAGTCAGTATATTCAATCTTAGCACAAATTTCAGAAAATTCAAAATGGTGTTAAAAATGTTATGATCAAAATCAGCAAACATATGGGATCTGAGCTATTAAAAATGGGTTACAAAACTAGTAAATTGATTTTGAGTAATTGATAATTAAAAAATATTATGTCACAATAAACATAACTAGTTAATAAAAAATTGCATTAAAAATATATTGAGTTGAATCAATTAATAAGGAAATATAATACAAAAACTCTCCTCCAACATGTCACAAAATAAGAGAGAACAAAAAACCAAACAAAGATAATGCTTTGAACTCCAATCAAGAATAACATCAAACCCTACTACCTAAATAATAAAAGAAAGACACTTCTAATAAATAATAATAATAATCTTAAATAAATGAAATCCTCAATCTGGTTTATGGTCTGATAATGTTCTTCCAAATATGAATAAAAATGTTTGCTTGATAATACTATTAATACTATTTATCCTATAACTAATGTAAGTTTATACAAAGACACAAAAAAAGAAATTTCAATGCATGCTAAAAATGATGATAATTTTAAAGCTTTTATTAAATCCTAATTTTTTAATTTAGAAAAAAATATGAATATTTTAATGAGCGAATACACTTGCTTTTACTATTAGTTAATTTAATAGGATATATATTGCGTAAACTTACATTCTGTAATATTATGAAAACTTACAAGCCTTTCGTGAATTTTAAAAGTTTACGAAAATTTATGCTATAAAACTTTCAGTCGTATAATATTTTGTAAATTTACTGAATTTAATATATTTAAATTTATTTATATATAAATTATACTTTTATTTAAAACAATTTAAAAATGAATTACATATAATATAAATTAAAATATAAAAAGAAAATATTACAAAAATGAAGTCATCATTATAGCAATAAAGTTAAAAATTTGGTTAAATATTAATAAGAATATTTTTAAAAAAAGGTTGAAAAATAAAGAAATTAAAAGTTAAATATTTGATGCCTCAAATAATTCGCATGAAAGTAAAAAAATTAGTAGAATAGAAAAGTAAATGAGAAACAATTAGTTAAACATAAAAGTAAAAAAGGAAAAAGTTAGTAGATTAGAGATAATAAAAGAAAGACAGTGGATGAGATAGAGAAAATTGGTAAAGAAATCAAAAAAGGGAAAATTAGTAGAGAAGAAATAAATAGAAAGGAAATATGAGACATTTAATAAAAAAGCAGAAATAGATAGTAGAAAAGAAAAAAAATAGTATATATTTATTAATATTAATATTAAGATAAAGGGCTTTCATACTAACTGAATACCTTTTATCGAGAAATAAAAAGAATTTTTTATTTATTTTTTATCATATAATCAAGTGAATTTTAATTAATCAATTATAAAATCTGAAGAATTACGACTATTTACAAAAAAATATATATTTTAAATATTTTAATAAATGAACATTATTTTTAATAAATATTTACATAAAACATTTTTGATAAGGAATGAAAAAAAATAAATAGATTTTATTTATTTTTATTTTATATATATATATGTTGTTTTATCATATCATATAATCAGATTTATTTTAATTGATCAATTTTAAAATCCTGAAATTAATATTTAATAAATGTAATATTTTTTTTTTTTAAAAAATATTTAAATACAAATCAAAAAATTTTTATTAAAAATATAAAATATTAAGAAAAAAGAAAAAAACATTGCTAATTTACATATCTAAATGCAAAACTATTTTTAAATATAAAAAAAAAAAAAAATTTGCCAATTTTTTTAAGTAATTATCACTAGTATTGTTATTCTCACTTCTTTTTTCATCACTTTTTACTATTTAATTTATTCTTTCTTCTCTTTCTTCTTCTTCTATCTCTTCTTTATCAAAATTACTATCATTATCATCATCTTTTTCATCAGAATGTAAAAATTTTCAGTTCGCTAAATAATATAATAATAATAAAAAATTTAAATACTTACATTAAATTTATATATAACTTTTTATTTCATAAATTTTCAGAAATTTTATATCTTGGTTAGCAAAAAATACAATTTTAATATCAGAGATATTTTTTGTCAAATTATATCTTATTAATGAACTGATTTATAAATATATGTAATCCTTCACTTTTATCTTTAAAGAGATTATTTAAGCATTTACTAATGGCTGGGTTAATATTTCATTATTAGATTTGTGAAGGTTTTGAATTAACATTAATTGTGAAAAGGTTATAACATTCAAAAATGTAATATAATATATTTTTGATATTGGAGTCTAACCTTCAGTAAAAACTTCAATATTTATTTATTAATTATTAAAAAAAAGATTTGATGAAATTGAATTATAATTATTAATAAATGATTTAAATCATTTCTTACTTTCTGACTACCGTATAGCATTGCATATAGTATCCCTGGTCTTAATCAAAAAAATCGGGTTAACTTGAATAGTATTTCTAGGGATACTATGTAAGGGGTAAAGTGAGTAAAGTATTATACTAGGAGGTACTAATTATCATTATTCCTTAGACTATAAAGCAGGCAAATTTGCCTGCGAAGTTAAAAAAAAGTGTTAATTTTTTAATAAAATATTAAATATTAATTTTATTAATTATGTTTGCATACTAATTGAATCACTTTATTATTAATTAAAGTCATAAAATTTCTTAATAAATTATAATAATAATAATAATAAAGTTTTACTTTATAAGTAATTTTATAATTTTCCATTAAGATTAATATAGTTAAAAGTAAACCCTAAAAAGTTTATTATAGATTAATTATAAAATTTTTTAATATAAATTTTTTTAAAAAATTACAAATTTTAGTTTCTAAATAATTTTAAACTTTTTAATATATAATTAAAAAATAAAACTTACTATAATTTATTATATATTTATAAAATTAATTTAAAAAATTAATTATTTATAAAAGTAAATCAGAAGAAAATTTATAGTAAATAAGCAGGCAAATTTGCTTGCAAAACCCTACGATTTAAGGGATAGTAAGGTAAGAAAAAAATAAAAAAATAAAAAACATTTTTTCTTTCTCAGCATTTCAAGTTTTAAAACTTTGAAATAAATAATTTCTTTTTTAAAAATGACTTCAATATTTTGTTTTAAGTATTCAAATAAGTTTTTTAAGCATTTTTTTATTATTAAATAATATTTTTAATATTAAATAATAAATATTAATAAATTTAACAAAAACTAATACTATATCTATCATTTTAAACAATTCGTTTTTATTCATTTTCTATATTTTAATAATTTACTATTCAAATGATCAAATGATTATTATTAAATTTTTTATTAAATAGCATACACAATTTTTTATTCATAATTTTTTTCGAGTCTTATTTTTTCAACTTTACAACT